GGGTGGATAAGGTGGCTGGCATGTACCAGATGCCTATAATCTCAGCACCTGGGAAACTGGCCCAAGTTTGAGGCCAGTCTGGGCTTCTTAGTTTAAGAACAGCCTGAACTATGTAGTGAGACCTTATCTTAAAGAGGGGGTGGGGGATAAGGTAATTAAGGGCAGTAATTAGAAGCAAATGGCTACTGATTTGCAGTCAGAAGATTGTACTGATGCAGCAAAGACAGGGGCTTTACAGGCTGGCTGGTGGGTGACTGGCCATGTGTGGAGTGTGAATAGTCAGGAGGATTCGGAACTAAGAGCAGAGAAGCTGACATCTGTTAGTACAGGCCCAAAAAAGACCAGAAGAAAAGCCTTGTGACAATTAGTTTTGTAGGCTCTAGAAAGACTGAATAAGAAAGGGACCTTCACAGGCATGTGGATGAGAACAGATACAGGTTGATGGATTTGTTCGCCAAAGGTCTCCCTCCTGCCCAGTGCTTAGTCCTCTTCTTTGTGCTGCCCATGCGCATGAGGAAAGTAGTGTTCTTAAGTGTTAGTCTGAGGCCATCCTGGGCGCCATAGCGAGACTCTGGCTCACACAACCAAAAATTTAAAGAAGTGCTACTCTGGTGGCACTGGCAGCTTGGAGTTGAAAGCTCAGTCCAAATCCTAGGGGCAGCAGGAATGTTGCTGTAATCCTGGCTTGAGAGTTTTCCTGGGAGTCAAAAAGGGCAGGAATGGAGAAGGATGATGGGGAGAGGGGTGATACAAGCTTAGGGTTCTATAGAGCCCTAAGAAAGGGGCTTGGAGACAGGTGGGACATTAGCAGGGTGGTGTTTTTTTGTTTTTTGTTTTTTGTTTTTTTTTACTGCTGGTGAAATAATTTATTCAGATAACAGATTTTTTATTTTACTTTCAGTTTCAAAACTGATTAATAAGACAGTTTCAATAATTAATACATTGTACATTGTTATCTTCTTAGTGGTTATCCATAGTACAAGATGCAGACAGGATATCCTGTCCAAACACTGTTAGTACAAATCTTTCTTATTGAATTAGGTGAAAGCTGTATATCTATCCTAACTATTCTGCATATACAGATACAAAATGATCCTTCCTTTGTATCCCATGTTTTTGTTTAGTCCTGTCAGAAATGGGTATTCCATTGGCATCTAAATACTGTAGGTGATTGAATTCAACAAAACAATCCAATACAGTCCAGCAGTCCACAGTAGTAGTGGGTTATCTGCAGAAGTTGTTGACTTGAGCCTTTCACAGCTCAGCATATTAATATGACTTTACTTTATATACCTCGTTTTTATGCTTTTCTGCTGGATGGTTAAGACCAAGATAAAGCAAGACCTATATAACAAGAAATGTTGGGGCTGGTGAGATGGCTCAGTGGTCTAAAGCACCTACTTGGAACAAGCTTGGCAGAGCACAGGGACCGCGGTTCAATCCCCCAGCACCACATGCCAGCCAGCTCCGCCCCTGGTGGGCTGAGTTGCCCCCCCACATAAATAAATAATAAAAAAACTTTAAAAAAAAAAAAACAAGAAATGTAACTTTTGTATCTGATAAGGTCAGTCAGGTACCCTCAGGATTTATCCTGTAACCCTGTACCACAGGTTGCAGATCCTTTGTCAGTGTCAGCTATGTGGATGAGTCACAGCCATTGCTTGAGCAATTTGCTGTCTGTGAAAGCCTGAGAGAATGTTTTCTCTCCAGGTGACTCTCCTTAGGCACACTCCACATCATCGATCACGTTGCTCTGTGGCCCCATAATCTCTTTGATCCAAAAATTTGGACACAGTTGAGTTACATGATGTTACAGTACAGGTTCTCCTATGTCCTGAATCTTCACTGACCTTGAAAGGCTAGGGCCAAAATGTTGGCTGTCCTTGCAGCCCTTCTATTTCTCTAATTTTTGGTCTGCAAACTTAGGTTGTTAACCCTCCAGAAGAGAAGCTTATTATTACCCTACAACATACACAGTTGGGTGTAACTTCACTATCTGTCTGAATATAAAACATCTGAGGCATAACATGGAACAGGTATTTTCCATCAAGTATTGATATGTTAAACATTAAGTCCCTACAGAATATGGAGATAAAAATTTAAAAAATGAAAAATATTTAAAGAATATGAATAAACAATTACATATTTTTACACAGAAATTTAGAAATCTAACCATATACAGCATTGTAGCAGGACAGTCCTGTGACATTTCTCTTTTTGTCTTTTTTTCATTTATTACCCATTTTTAAATATTCTACTTGTGAGACATTATGGTTATAATTGACATGTCATGACAAGGAGCACATATTTAGAAGACCAGAATGACAGGCTTTCCAAGTGTGACCCTTCTATTACACATTGCTATCTTCAGTGCATTTTGTCTTGTTTTGAAAGAGGTTCCTGCTCTGCAGTTCAGGGCTTGAGCTCACTTTGTAGCCCAGGCTGGTCTTGAACTTGCAAGGATCTTCCTGCCTCAGCCTCCAGAGTGCTGGAATTACAGGTGTGCACTACCACACCTGTCAGGCTTTGCCTTTTAATTGTTATTTTGTTGGAAAGTAAAAACACTGGTGGGAGGAGTGATGATAATGGGAAGGGCTGGAACCCTCAGCACTCAGGACCTCAGCTTGGGCTCTGCTTGGTGATTCTTGCCTCTTTGTTAAAAACCCTGCTGCTTTAATGAAAGAGTCTCCTCTCATCATCTCCTTCCTTTTAGGGATGGATGTGTACGGCTACCTCCTGGCACGCGAAGGGCGGCTGGAGGATGTGGAGAACCTTGGCTGCCGCCTTTTCAATATTTCTGATCAGCATGCAGAGCCTTGGGTGGTCTCTGGGTATGTGTGTGGTTGCTTTTGTCTCCAGTTCTCATTAGATTTATTTATTT